TAATAAATATTATATATTTTAATAATTATATATCTTACAATATTTTTTAAATTTTAATTAATAATTAATAAAATTTATCATATTTCATCTATAATACTTTTTAAAAAATAAATAACCAAACACCAAAATGACTTTCAGCCACAACGATAACACAGTACAGTCACAGCTAAGCACAACCACAGCACTTCACAGCAATTCCAAACGCACTTTAAGGAAATAGAGGAAGAACTAAGGCAAAGGAAAGTATGATTTACTTCTCTTCACTTAATTGGTGCACTAAACCATTACCGTGTTTAAAAGAACGTGAGAATTCAGTTTAGCTAGTATTACAGGTATGGAAAGCGTTGGTACAGGGTTTCGAGCGAGGTTTCTGACAGCCAGGGACGAGGGTTTTAAGCGACGGCTTCCAGGATATGGTTCGTAGTTTATTGGACAAGCAACGACTTATTTTTTTCTATGATTTTCCAGCTGATCGAATTGCTAATGACTTGTGGTTTAGCTTCTGGTCTTATGGGAAAGTGGCGGACGTATACATTTTGTCACGCCCCAGAACCCAAATCTGGGGACGTGGCAGACGCCGTGCACTCGTGAGAGGATCCCACAAATGCACAAGCCTCGGAACTTATCCAATTCACATCTGACCATCCAATAATTTAAATCAGATATTTCAAATTAATTCTATGTCCAACATGACTTAAGCTCAAAATCCCAAGGTCAAATCTCTTGTAAACTAACAATCCACTAAATGAATTTATAAAATCTCCAATTAAAATCTAGTTTACAAGATCATGATCTATATCTAAAATCTATATCAAATTATAGGTGGCTAGCCTTCTAACTTGTCACTCCCCTCGTTTTTCGCCGTCCTTGACTTCGCTTCCTGAAATGGTGGACAAGGAAAAACTATGAGATAACTCAGTAAGTAAATATGGATAGCCCTTAATTAAACTTATAGCATGCCAACCAGTATAATCACGAAAATAGGTACGAGTATGGAACGAAATAGACGTTTCCTCTATAGGTCATGGCTAGTGTTATAAACCTCCCACTGGTGGGCACAGTAATAACCAATGTTTTATCCCATTGGCGGGATTATAGAATGAACCGGTCCTATCAGTAAACATGTCGACATGTGCTAGCGTTTATAAACCTCCCACTAGCGGGCACAGTAAACCATGACCATATCGGAGACAAAACAAGCATAAGTTAACAAGAAAATCCATACTTTAAACATCATTTCCAGATCATCAGGGCAGTTAAATAAACCTCAAGTAGGCATGCTCAATTCAATGGAAAACATAATAATTTCATTTCAAATCAGTCATGCTCATATTTGTGTAAAATGAGTTTAGTCCCGCCACCATTTCAAAAACAAGTCAAAACATGCTTTTAAAAACTGTACAGGCATTACCATAAATTTACTTATCTCACTCGCATAAACCGAGGACTCAATCCTAGTGCTCGGGTGACAGAACACTCAAGAACCTAATCAAAATACCCTAGAATTAATACCATACTATCACAAATTCAAAGTGAAATCATCATTAGGATTACCCCTAATCATGATGCTATTTCTATCAGTCTCCACACGACCGGACATCTCTAAATTTGTTCTTATATTACAAACTAAACATTTAAATCCCCGTTAATTGTTGGACATTAGTGCGTGAACAATGCCCTTGAACAGTGCCCTTGAACAGTGATCACTCCGTGAATAGTAACTACACTTCCATAAATTGGCAAAACAATGGCTAATTCACAGGATTTTTCTCCAAAAATCACAGCAGCTAAAATAAGCTAATATTCTACATGAATTAAACTTAATCATGGTCTAATTACTATCAAATTCATCCCCTATTTCCAGCAGAAAATTCAGACACAAAGGGCAGTAAATAAATGGACAAATTCAGCAACTAATTGATGAAATTTCGGGCTTGGAGGAGCTGTCAACATACCAGAATTTTCCTAGCAAAGCCGGAGCTCCAAGGTAGGGGAAGGTCGGTGGCAATTTGGGGAGAATTCGAGATTTATCCCAAAAATTGGAGAACCAAGAGAAATCAAAGTTAATCCAAGCCAATTCAAGGAAAAAAGATGGATTAATGGCTGTTCTTACCGAACAATCAAGGAATTTCGCACCTATAAGCAAGAGCAACCAGTAGAAGGATAGAGCAGAGCAGGGCAGATTCGAAAATTCTGCAGAGGGGGGGGGGGAGTTTCTGGGTTCTATATGTGTTCTAGAACAAGAAAAGAAGGAGAAATTTCAAGCTTTCTATCGGTTTTTTTCAAGGGATGGCTGTCGGCTTGCTTGGTTCCTTTGTTTTTTTTGTTTTCGGCTGTAGCAGGGTCTAGAAGAGCAGAAGCACGCGGGCTGAAGAAGAAAGGAAGAAGAAGAAAAGAAATAAGCCGTCCTTATCCAAATTTTCCTCTTTTAAGCCCCTTGAATGTAACACAAATTGCCATTAGGTTCACTAATAATATTTCCTCACAAGTTAGTCCTTAACTCACACTTATTTATTCTAGAAAATTTTGGCGTATCACACATTTTAACAAGAAGGGATCGGAGACGGCGACGGTTTGGTTTCGTCAAAATGATGGGGGTTTCAAATGCTATAGATATGGAAAGGAAATTGAATCAAATAAGGTTAGGCTCTCATCATCTAAAGGTGAAATTGGCTGACAATATGAGAAGAGAAAAAGAAGTGACAACACTGGTTCTAAGCAAGCAGCTTGCAAAACAATGGGTGAGAAGGGATAGAAAAGTGAGCCCTAGGGTATCATATGCATAGGTGGTGGCAGGGAAATTTGCAAGAATTGAGGAAAGCAAGTCTTCAATGATTGGTAGTAGGCAAGAAGTGGTGCAAAATGGGAAGGAAGAGATAAACATTGAGAAGGAAACAGTTTGTTTTAAGGAGGCAAATGGGGTACAACAATTGGCCCTAGAGTTTTCTCCCACAGAGGATGAGAATGCATGGCTAAAGAGAAGCATGGTGGCAATGGTCCGATCATTAGACATGGTGAAAACAAAACAAAATAGATTGGATGTTGATGGTGTGATGGTGAATGTGGCTTTGGTAAGGGGTAAATAGTTGATATTAGTGGACAGTTCGGAGGGTTGTTTATAGGAGTTTCTTAATAGTAATAAGGAATTGGTGGTTTCATGGTTTGAATGGATACAGCCATGCTCATTATCTACTACTTTGGCAAGGCAGAGATTGGTTTGGTTTTGTTTTTTTGGTCCACCGTTGAAGGCACGGTGTGAGAGATGTTTTGTAGAGTTAGGTGGGTTGATAGGAGAGGTGATTCTTATTGATGGAGATACAAAAAGTAAATCATTTTTGTGTGAAGGTAGAGTATTGGTTTTGTGTGATGATACGTGTAAAACTTCAAAAACAATCACACTAAAGGTGGATGGCGAGGTTTTTCCTATTATGGTGATGAGGGAGCAGTGGAGAATGGATCCGGATTGGCGGTTGTCCGATAACTGACGGAATCCAGTTGATTTTGAGAATGGGACAGAATATTTCGATGATGGGGATAGTGATGCGATCTTTAATGATAATGATTTGTTAGGGGTTGAAGGAGAGAAATATGCCAAAGATGTTGCAGAAACTGTTGAGGATTCCAATGAGTACTTAAGAAGGTCGGTTGTTTCAAAAAATGTGGATTTGGTTGAATTTTTGAAACCCAATGGGCCATCCAAGCATGGGTTGGTTGAGGAGTTAAGTGGGCTTCATGAAGTGGGTTTACAGGTGCAGTGTGTGGCAAAAGGAAGTAGGGATGGGCTTCGATCTTCTTTTGGACAATAGCAACAGCAACAACACATGCCTTCGACAACCAAAAAATGGAAAAGCTTGGGGAAGATATATGTTGGGATGGAAGATTCGGAGAACTTGAGGCCTGTGGGAATAGAGTTGGCGATAGAAAGAACCAGGTTCAGAAGGGGACGACCAAAACATGAAAATCAAAAGGAAAATCAAGAAGATGTGCAAAATACAAGCCAATCATTGTCCGACAGGTGCATCCAACATCGAAATTCTCTAATTTGACAACAATTGGAACTGGAAGAGGTGCACAACCTGTTTGAATTGGGGCAGAGATTAGGGATTCGGTGTCAACAAAATGAGGATGAGGTGTTGTCGAGGTTGATGGCTTTTGATGAGAGGGATGCCGCCAATTTTAGGGGAGTTTGAATTTTTGAAAGTGCCAGGTTGGTGGTTCTTTGTGAGAATTTTTTTATGAATTATGAAAGTTATTTCTTTTAATGTCAAAGGTTTGGGTGCTTTTTTAAAAAGGAAGGAGGTTTCGAAATTGGTTAGGAAGGAGGAGTCGGATTTTCTATTTATTCAAGAGACTAAATTAGAAAGGATTGAGGGTTCGGTGTGTAGATTTTTGTGGAATTCAGATGATTTTGAATGGGTAATGCAAAAATCAGTTGGTAATTTTGGTGGTTTGTTGTGTATTTGGAATAAGAAGAGGTTTGTTACACAGAGTGTGTTTGAGGGTGATCGTTTCATTGGTATTTCTGGTGATTGGGGTCAGGAGCAGATATGGTGCACCTTTGTTAATATATATGCTCCTTGTGACAGACATAGGAAGCTGTTATTGTGGAAGGAGATTGGTGATTTAGTTTTAGAAAGGGGTGGCAGATGGCTTTTGGCTGGGGACTTTAATTCCATTCGGAATATATCAGAGAGGAAAGGTAAAATGGGAGAGACACAAGATATGTATGATTTCAATCAACTTATTGAAGCTAATGGGTTGATGGATGTTAATTTGATGAATAGAAAATTCACATGGTATAGGCCTGATGGTTCTTCGATGAGTAGGATTGACAGGTTCCTATTATCTGCTGATATGAGTGTCTTAGGTCCAGATTGGAATCAAGTTGGAGTTAGAAGATCAATTTTAGATCATTGTGCTGTCATTTTGAAGTCAAGCAACGTAGATTGGGGTCTAAAGCCTTTTCGAGTGCTTGATGCATGGCAACAACATCCAGACTTTCGAGGGTTGATGGAAGATAGATGGAAAACATTGCAAGTAAACGGATGAGTGGCTTACAAATGCAAGCAAAAATTGAAACTATTAAAGGAGGATTTGAGAAGCTGGAACAAAAATGTTTTTGGCAATGTGGAGGCTTAATTTGTTAATTTATCAGAACATATTGAGACATTGGATAAAAAAAGTGAGGAAGTGGAGTTGAGTGTAGAAGAGGTGGCGATGAGAAGAGAGTGTTTTAAGGAGATGTCGGATATTCTAAAGAAGAGGGAAGTTGTTTGGAGATAAAACTCATGAATAAATTGGGTTTGCCTTGGGGATGCAAATACAAGGTTCTTTCATAGGAGTGTGCAAGCAAGGAGGGCACAAAATGCAATTTCAAGGGTTATGAGTAAGGATGGATGGGTTGAGGAACCACAAGTGGTGAAAGCAAAAGCTGTGAGGTATTTTAGTCAATTGTTTCAGAATGAACAATGGAGCTGCGAAATAATGAGTGGTTTTCAGTTTAAAAGCATTTCGAAGGCACAAAGGCAATGGTGAGAAAGACCTTTTTCCATTGAGGAAATTGAAGAGGCACTTGAAAGTTGCGATGGGTCAAAGGCACCAGGACCGGATGGTTACAATTTTAATTTCATAAAGTTTGCTTGGAGCACAGTGAAGGACGCTTTATAAATTTCATGATGGAGTTTCATCAACATGGGAAGCTAGTGAAAGGCTTAATTTTTCATTTTTGGCGTTGATTCCTAAGAAGTTAAATGATGTGCATTTTAAAGAGTATAGGCCTATTAATTTGATTGGCTGTTTGTATAAACTTTTGGCTAAGGTATTGGCGAATAGGTTGAAAAAGGTAATGGCAGACATTATTAGTGATTCGCAATCAGCATTTGTGGGTGAACGACAATTGGTTGATAGTGTGTTGATTTTGAATGAGGTAGTGGATGAGGTAAAGAAAAGGAAGCAAGCGAGCTTTATTTTTAAAGTTGATTTTGAAAAGGCGTATAACTATGTAGATTGGTCTTTTCTAGATTGGATGATGGCTCAAATGGGTTTTGGGGTTAAATGGCGGCAGTGGATGCATGAATGTCTATCAACAACAAGAATTTCAGTTTTAATTAACGGAAGTCTGACAAAGGAATTCTCAGTTGGCAAAGGTCTTTGTCAAGGTGATCCTTTGTCTCCTTTTCTATTTTTACTAGTTAGCGAGGGATTGTGTGGTCTAGTGAAAAAAGCATAGGGTGAGGGGTTGTTGTGAAGAGTGGAAATTGGGATGGGTGGTATGATGTTGCCTTTATTACAATTTACGGATACTGTTTTTATCAGAAAGGTGGATATGGGAAATTTAAGGGTAGTGAAAGCTATTTTGCGCTGGTTTGAATTGATTTCTGGCTTACATATAAATTTTAGTAAGAGCCATTTTTATGGTTTTAATGTTGTTGAAGGGTGGATTAAGGGTGCGGCTGATATTTTACATTGCAGAATGGGTAAGGTGCCTTTTATTTATCTTTGTTTATTGGT